CTCTGCTGCAGGGCATCCTCCAGCCCCAGTCATCCAGGTCTGAGACCTGCTTCAAGAGACATTGGTGTGTTGGGGAGCTCAGGACCCTCCTCAGCAGCCTGCAGCCTCCTCCTGCCCTGGAGGAAGCAGCCCCAGAGGGAGGTTCCCCACCCTGACCCAACCAACGACCCTTCAAATGCAATTGCTTTCTGCTCCGACAGCAGCATCCATTTCCAGCCAGCTCACTGCTGAATCGACCTGCCCTTCCTGGCTCTCACAACAGGAGACCCTAATTCTGGGTGCAGCAGGAGAAGGGTCACAACTTCCCTTGCTCAGCGCTGTGCCCATGGGGATCAATGCCCACTGGCAAGTGCTTGAGATCCAGATGTCTACCCCTTGTGGTCCCTGCCTACTTCATTTGCTGTCTCCCCATTTACGCATTGAGGCAAATCACAAACAGCTGGTCCTCACCTGCCCTTTCCAGCATGTGGTGTCAGTGACACAGCCACTACAGCTCAGCCAGCACAGTCTTCAGGGTTTGTCCGCTGAGTGTGGCTGAGCTCTGATCACAAGGCGTCAGGGCTTGTGGCTCAGTCCCAAAAGATTGTCTCCAACTGCCAGTGACTATCAGCATCTCCCTGCTTCCAGAAGGGCTTCATCTTTGCTTGGGATGAAACCAGCCTTTGGGAGAGCAGATGATCCAGCCGTGTTACAACAGGAGGGTGTCGTGCCCTGTGCTTGCAGCTCCAGGGTGCTGAGTGAAGTCTTGGAGGCTGGAGAAGGTCCTTCTTGCAGGAGCATGGCTTCAGCGGGGTGTCTGGACAGTCCCAAGGAGCTGGTGGCTCTGGAGAAGCCCGTGGGTATGTGAAATAGAGGACAAAAAGGGGAGCCCTGGCTTAAACGTTTGCAGTGTTCCCGATTGCAGAGAGGTTGTCAGCACAGCGGGAGCCAGAGACCTGGAGGAACACAAACAAGGAAAACTGCAGCTTGAGAAGGATGTGTAAATGAAATACACTGCAAACACAGAAGCAGGATCTCAGTACAAGCCAGGAGAAAGCAGTGTGACTCTGCCTCCTGGTTCAAAAGGAAAATGAGATATTCAGGAAAAGCCTTGGATTATGGGCTAGAATGATTACATCCTTACTGAAGTTTGACCGGTGCTGCAACACTAACTCAAAGCCATGGTAATCGAAACGCTTATGATTCTGATCAAAATTATTTGGGTGGCTAATGGGAGCTGTATTTTAATGCATTAATATGATTAATATATGCTTAGAGACAGCAGACTTTCTAAGCAGATAAAAGAGCCCTTTTTTAGCTCAGTGAGGAACAACTCGTTCCATAGCGCTTTCTACACAGGGATCTTTCTGGCTGCTGCCTTTGTGCCAGGCAGTGCTACAGGAAACTCATCCGATTACTAGTGATAAAAGAAATAAGCAAGCCCTCACACAGTGACAGGGAAGTGAGCTGAGCCACTGTGGCTTGTCACCTGCATGCCCTGGAGACTGCCCAGCCTTGTTCATGATTTTGGGGCAGGCTTCAACCCGCGTTGATGTGTTTTGTGCAGGTGCAGCCTTGGATTAGGTGGTACCTCCCCTCCCTGCTGCACGGGTGCTGGTGGGACTGCTGGTCCCTCCCTGGGCTAGCTGGGACATGTCACCGTTCACCCTCAGCATCCCCAGGGATGGCCGGGATCACCAGGCAGATTCCAGCATTTCTGTGTTTCTAGTCCATCTCCCCAGGCCCGCCGAGACCCAACATTTGCATTATAAACTGGATGTAAGAGCATCTCACCACCTCCTGGAGCAGTCTCACTGCTTCCAACAGCAACACGATTGAGTTCACCTGGGTGATTGTACCCAGCTCCTTATCAGAACTCAGGAGCTTCTCTGTCTCGGTGGCAGGGAAGCATTTAACCCCTTCCCTCCATGGTGCTAGCCCTTGCACACAAACCCACCCTGAAGAGGAGCCAAGCCCACATATTTTAATTCAGATCAGCCTACAAATGCTTCATCCATCTCTTTTGACCCCCAGGGGAAAGTTTTTTTGCCTAAACACTAAATTCTGGTTGGTTTGATGTATTGTTAAAGAAAGCATGTTCCCTGCCCCTAAAATTTCCCATCTGCATGTAATTCCCAAGCTTTTCTATTTGTTTTTCCAAAAACAGTGCCCAAATATATTGTAACAGCAAGGAACAAAGCCTAGCCCAGTCCCCAGAGATTTTTCTCCTATAAAAGCTGCATCTCAGGCATGTTACTCCCATGGCTTATCACCGGCGTGAACAGATGAAGAGGCTGTTAATCAAGATTGTCAGAAGCTTTCCCAAAGCCAAACATCCTCGCTGGAGCAAGGGCTTGGCGGGGACCTTTTGCTTCATCTGCTCAGATATTAACTACAGAAGCGCTGGCTGGAGAAGGTGGATGACTTCTTGGTTTCTCCAGAAAAGGGCTGGGGATTTCGCACTGACAGTCAGGGAGGTGACACTTCTGGTGGGGTGGGATGGAAACGGACCCTCTGCAGCCTGTCCCCATTGCCCGCAGCCCTCCTTCTTCCCTGACATCCTGGAAAGCCAGTGGTGTCTGCCATCAGTGCTGTGGTGCAGCGGGCAAACAGGGCGTTTTGTCAGACTGTCTCACCAAAAGCCAAGCTTTGACATAGC